GGTGAGGTGGGGAGGATAATGCACTGGTTCATTTTAGTGGGAGTGGAGAGAACAATAGATTGGTGCTTAGCAGAGAGTGTAGAGAACATAGCATTGGTGGTCAATTGGGGTGCGGGGGATAATGCATTGGATAATTTTAGTGGGAGAAAGGAGAGGAATGCATTGTTGCTTATATTGGTGCTCTGTGAGGATGGGGAGAACAAAGAATCGGTGCTCAGTGTGGACTTCTCTGATTCCCTCTTCCTCCTATCTGCCAGAACTATTTACTTACTGTTGAACAGGATATCAAGCCACCAGACATAGTGTCTAGTGGCCTGGAGCTGCGTGTTGGAATAGTAGTTAAAGTGCTCAGCTCCAGGACACGTCCCATATCCAATTTTGTTGAAATACCAGTAAAGTTCCACAGGATCCAGGATGGAGGGGGGTATACCCAAGTATCATCTGTGAGAAACTGACGGGGCCCAGGTGGTATTTGGTGAGGCCCAGATGTCATCTGGGAGAGACTAGTGAGGCCAAGGTTTCATCTGGGAGAGACTGGTGAGGCCAAGGTGTCATCTGGGGGAGACTGGGGAGGCCCAGGTGTCATCTGGGAGAGACTAGTGAGGCTAAGGTTTCATCTGGGAGAGACTGGTGAGGCCAAGGTGCCATCTGGGAGAGACTGGTGAGGCCAAGGTGTCATCTGGGGGAGACTGGGGAGGCCAAGGTGTCATCTGGGGGAGACTGGGGAGGCCCAGGTGTCATCTGAGAGAGACTGGTGAGGGCAATGTGCCATTTGTGATAGACTGGTGAGGCCAAGGTGTCATTTTGGTGAAGCCCAGGTATCATTAGTATCACTAATGATACCTGGGCTTCACCAAAATGACACCTGGGCCCCACAAATCTCCTACAAATGATACCTGGGCCACCCCAGTCTTTTAATAATTTAGTAAAAGACTGGGGTGGTTCAAGTATCATTTGTAGGAGATTTGTGGGGCCCAGGTGTCATCTGGAAGAGATCTTTTACTCTTAAGAATCCTTACTGAAAAAAGGTAAAGAAACTCTACTGTAGAAATTAAGTTCCGTGAAGTCAAAAGGAGCTGCCTGAAATGACATCCCAGAAACCAAGCATGACTTCCGGCTTCCATTACACAGCCATCAATGGTGATCAGACGCTCAGCACTGTCCTCGGAAATGTTTCATCAAAGTTTGCTGACTCTGGTACCCCGTGCTATAAAAACACTACAATGTCATAACATAATCCACGATGGAGAGAAGAAAACACTTACTGATCATTAATTATTGACCATTATTACTGCACTCAGTGTCAAAGGGTGTTAAATCCACCAACTACCCCAGGACAGCCACCACATTGATGGGTCACCATTATCTCCCCATGGTGCCCTAAAAAGCCCGTCAAAACTGTCTAGGCAAACAGTAAAACATGACGATGATGCCTAATGTATGTCACCTACTATGTGAACTGAAGGTGAAAGCACATTCCTTCCAGCTAAGAGGACTTGTCACCCACAAGGGTCAGACATTCCTGTAAGGGTATTGATTGGATGGTGGCATTCCATTCAATGGTACCCAATAACTGCGTTCCTTTTTCCTTCACCATCATCCCTCACCCACATCTGCACTGAGTTTCTACAGTCAAGGGAATATGTGATTTTACGAGTGATCAATAAATACATTACAACCTTTCTTACTGCAGAACATTTCTATTTGTTCTTGTATAATGGAAGACTAATTGCCTTCTACATTGATTGTAGTGTGTGACTGTGGAGGAGACATTAGAGTGTGTGACTGTGGAGGGGACATTAGGGTGTGTGACTGTGGATGGGACATTAGAGTGTGTGACTGTGGAGGAGACATTAGTGTGTGACTGCGGAGGGGACATTAGGGTGTGTGACTGCGGAGGAGACATTAGAGTGTGTGACTGTGGAGGAGACATCAGAGTGTGTGACTGCGGAGGAGACATTAGAGTGTGTGACTGAGGAGGGGACATTAGAGTGTGTGACTGTGGAGGAGACATTAGAGTGTGTGACTGTGGATGGGACATTAGAGTGTGTGACTGCAGAGGGGACATCAGAGTGTGTGACTGCGGAGGAGACATTAGAGTGTGTGACTGCGGAGGAGACATTAGAGTGTGTGACTGCGGAGGAGACATTAAAGTGTGTGACTGCGGAGGGGACATTAAAGTGTGTGACTGCGGAGGAGACATTAAAGTGTAATCTTCTCTGGTGATGTGAAAGGTTTTATGTTCTCTGAAGAGCGTTGAAGAATAACTCGGGTGTGCTATTCTATGGACCCCCTCGTGACTTATTATAGTGTTACAGTATATTGTACGGACTTCCTGGGACTTAATTT